CGATGTGTGCTACGCGATCGTCTGTTTTCTCGGCAGCAACCATTGTGTGGTCCTCCTCATTGTTCTTCATCAGCAGTTCTTTCGGTCGATGCGTCGTCGACTTTGGAAAGCAACCGTTTCGTGATGAGTGTGTGAGTGCTGACCACGTTTTGCGTCCATTGCTACAATGGACGCGCTCTGACCCTCGTTGGCGTACAACAATTTGCCATACAATGAAACCACTGGAAGCGGCTCCAGTTCTGATGGAGGAGGCTTTTTGGATAGCGGAAGATAAAGTGTTTATTGTGTTGTACCTTTTGACTATAGTTTTAAGATGTATTGTATAGTGACCAAGAATCCTCGGCTCTGTAAAGTTAATTCGGTTGAGCCTTATCAAATAAAATAAATAAATAAATAAACATTTTTGCCCCTCGGTTGGCTCTATCTCGCCGTCATCATTTGTCTCTCAAGGACCCAGCTCAATTTAAATCCCAACTTGTTAATAATATAATCATAAATAAATTGTAAAACATGACTTGATGTTTGCACCTGACTTTCATCCGAAATTCCGTCATATAATTTCATTTTATAATTAGTTGAAAATTATACAATTATCCTATGATTTATGACTACTTTGATTTTCACAAATCGATCTAAAATCATTCATTATATGGTCGTTTTCCAACAGATGATAAATCGAATGACGATCATCTCAAAATCATCTGATAATAGTTATAGGGCTTGAGTGAGGCAATAATCATTCGATGCCAGGATGATGTTTTGGTTCAGTGAAGTCTAAGCCCAGCTTTAGCTCGGATAGCTCGAACAGTGGTAGGCCAGAGAGGATGATGCGTCGATGTCGATCTTATAATACCGTATGCATGATAATGTTTGCAAATTAGGTTCCCGTTTCAGCTGTGCATACAATGCCTTGGTTTTCTTTGCATGCACGCAACCTATAGCTCATACCGTAGTAGGCTGTGTATAAAAGAAAATCGATTACTTAGTTTGACAGTTGCACCATGACGAAGTTGCAGCGTATTCGTGATTTGTCCCACGCGCAAATGTCGCAAAAAGACATTTCAATCGCCGTGGGAGTGTCCCGGTGGACCGTCAAAAGGGTTTTAGATCGAGAAAAGAAAGGACAACTATGGCCACAGGTCGTTCGAGGTCAGCTCGGGTTCCGAGGGTTATCGCTGCTATCAAAAGGAAGATTCGGGTGAATCCAGTGCGGAAAATGGCAAAGGAACACGGAATCAGTGACTTTACGGCACGGAAAATCGTAAAGGAAGATTGCGGGGCGAAGTCGAGGGCACGGAAAAAAACTCACATGATTGCCAACCGCATCCGGGAGCTACGAGTCAAACGATGCAAGAAAATCTTGAACTTCCTTAAGCGAAGAAATCCGCTAATCCTGTTTACCGACGAGAGCATGTTTACCGTCGATCCCGTATCAAATTCCAGAACCGACCGGTATATTAGTTCTCTTCCGGTAAAAGACGTGGCCGACGAGCACAAGAACGTGTATCTGACCAAGCATCCTGCTAGCGTAATGGTGTTTGGATTGGTGGCTTCCGATGGCAAAAAAATGGATCCGGTGTTCATTCCAAAAGGCAACAAGGTCAACACGGAGGTCTACATCGGAATTTTAAGTAAGTATGTTCTTCCGTGGATCAAAGAACAGTACGGTCCGAAGCCAAATGTTGTATTTCAACAAGATGGGGCTCTGTGCCACACCTCGAACCGCACTCAGAAGTGGTTGCAGGAACATCTTCCGTTCTGGGCGAAGGATATGTGGCCGCCATCCAGCCCCGATCTTAATCCGCTGGATTACTCAATATGGCGTGTCATGAAGGCCAAGGCCTGTTCTAAACGCCACCCGAGTACAGCAAGTCACAGACAAACATTGACCCGTACTTGGAGAGAAATGGATCCAGACTACATTATTAGAACCTGCCGTGCATACCGAAAGCATGTGGAGGCCGTTATAACAGCATGTGGAAACTCGATCGATGATTAACATAGTTTAAGACTCTAAAAAACACCCCCCTTTGAATAAATAAAAAAAATCCAAAACGAAATTTTTGAGATTTTTTTTTATTTTTGACATTGCTCAATGGTGCAAACATTATCACGCATACGGTAAGGCCGTCCACGAAACAGTTGCGATCAACTGACTTTTTTGTTTACCAAGAAATTTTGACAGATCACAGTAGAACTGGCAGTTCGACAGTGAGCATGCATAAGGTTGTAAACGCGATGATCGATTCTCTTCGTCGATTTTCTCTTTTGTTTATAAATCGCTAGGCTTAACGTTTCTCAGTGCGTTTGCTGTTGCTTTTGATAGCCAATACAACCTGTTGCAACTCTGCATTGAACAAATGCTAGATAGAGCTGGAATTAGGGCGTAACAGCTTTTGTAAACAATGACTTCTTTCGATGATTTCTTGAAAGCCATGGCTCTCCCTGGCAAATCGACATTACCATCGAGTAAAGGAAGACTTCTCCTACCCGATGGATATGGTGGGTTGTGTAGGCGTGCCTTGCATTCCGAGAAATCAACGAGAGAAGTCATTGTTTACAAAGGTTGCACTTGTTGACTTGTTGACTGAGTCCATCGCTACGGAATCAGTGTTTGAATACTGATTGACCAGGGGGAGGATTCGTTTAGCACACATGACTTGTTTACTTTCGCAAACATCAGTGTTTGAGGTTACTGACGACTGGGACTTAACATAAACACGACGAATGATTCTGTTGGATCCCCACCCAGCACATGTGTATGTGCATTAGATAGCTTTATATTGGAACAATCCACTTTCAATAAATGGAACAAAATCTACGAAATTAACGAATAATTTGTCACACCTTCTCACCAATAATCAATACGAAACTAACGATTTTAAATTTGCTCACTACTTGACTATAGACCAATACACGGAAAAACGAGTTTATGCATTGATGAATATTTTTTAACCACTTTTGGGAGCTTGTTCGAGCTGTCATAGAGTGGTTGAAATTTATAGCAAAAAAGTGTATACAATTTAGACATTTCCAGAGAAAACCATTTTGCAACATAAGTGTCTAAATTATATTCACTAGTGGCTGAAAAAAAACTTGGCAACAATTATTTTCCGAAACCGCAGCGGCCATCATTCATCAACTGTTCGCAGGTAGATAGATTGTTTATAGTATTATTATAATATACATACCTACAATTTAAAAATAACTTATAATTTTGTTTTCATTTCCAGAGTGCGGTGAGAACTCCAAGAAAAAGTCATCATCGTCGAGTGAGAATCAGGAAGTGCGGCTTCCTTCGCAATCAAGTGCCGGAACGAAAATAAAGGGATCAGGCCAAAGAGATGGCCGATGATAATAGTAAGTATATCTAACACGGTACATTGTTTTGTTATTTTAAAACTTTTGATTCCCATTACAGAGGGCTTCAAACGGCAGCACAACGATCCGGATCGAGTTCGCCGGGCAACGGAACGGGAAGGTCGACGAAAGGATCGCGAAAAGAAAGAAACATCCGATTCCGGATTGTGCGAAGGTTTCCGTGATCGGACTACACTGCTTTGTAAACAACACCACCACACCAGAGTATCCTCCTGACAATTGGCGACATGAACAGCCTCGCGAATCACATGATGGATTATGTGTTGAAACCAAGGGGACCAGCCGGCAGCAGAAGTACGGAGTATTCCCCGGTCCCCGTGTACAAGGTCACTAAGGCGGTGGACCAAACAGCAACACGAACCAGAATCAAGAAATAAACGTTACTTTTTATCGGATTTTATTCGATTGTTATTTACAATAATATATGTTTCAAATAAACGAAATCAGCCATTTAAATTCCTTCCAGTGTATACAATTTAACCACTTTTGAGAAAAACGTCTTTATTCATTAATGATTAAAATTTAATCACTTTCGAGAAAAACGTGTTTATTCATCCGATGAGTAAACAGCGTTTATTCATTTTATGAATATGTGCGGGTTTTCTCGAAACTGGTTAAAGTTTAAACATTAATGCATACTTTTTTCTTAGCGTGTAGGCCCCAAGCAAATCGATTAACAAACCCATTCTATTCGAAATTCCAGTACTACACTATGTTTGTTTTGATTCGCTATGAAAGTTTGACAGATAAAATGAGGGATTCGTGGATTTTCCTATGTTTCGAGGGGTGCATCGATTAGCTTGGGACCGAAGATAGTACCAGAGCTGAGCCAAAAGGTTGAGCTCGTTTCTCCGGGACCTTCTGGTCTTAGAGTTACCACTATGTTCTCACTACGTGTGAACTCGCTGGTTTGACAGTTCTAACTGTGTTGAATATTATTTTACATTAATTACTACTTGGCTCTGCTGAGTTCTTTTTAAGACATTTGAGCCTGCAAAATAAACGAATTGAAAAAAAAACAAATTTGTTTGGTTTTTGAACTTACTAAACAAATCCAATATTATTATTTTTAATAGTATTAAGTTCTCTTAAAGATACAGGAATAGTTTGCTGATGGCTTATTTCCACTGTGCAAAGGATTTGTTCAGTTTCTAAAAACATATGTATGGGATTCTAAGATTAGTTTTAGAAATTGGCCATTTAACATTGAATCCAAATAATCGAAGAATCAATTAATTGTCTCCTGGAATACAGTATGGAAAAAATCACGGGTTTTAAGATATTGTATCAATTGTACATTTGTGAAGTTGATCCCGAGTTTTGAAAATAGTTTAAGATTCCGGGTATTGAAAAGTGGGCTTCCGAAAAACGACCTAGTCGTTAAATCCACAAACAATTTATAATATACAAAATATAATTATTCTGTAGCTTGATCTGATTACGATTTACTAATAAAAATGATTTCCATTGATATATTGATTGCATCTAGCCAACATTGAATCACTTACTCTATTGTGACATGTTGTGAAGAAATATTGCAATTTATCGTAATTACAAAAATTAAGCACAACAAGCACATCCTTGTTTTCCTTAGGAACATATTTTTAAAGAGTACTTACGTTTACGTCCAGCATCCAGTGGAATCATCGGAGTAGTCGTCATCTTGAACAGCCACTGCTCTATGTCAAACTCCAATATAAATGCACCTCTTGACTAATGTGCAGAGTACAACCTGTCGTTTACCTAAGCAATCATTGTCAAGGAGTTCCTGTGGGAAGGCAAAAATTAAAAATATAAATAGTTAATATACAGTAGCAACTACTTGACACGGCGATTATTAATCATAGTGACGTAAATAATCCACTGCAGGAAACGACGCCTCTTAAACGGTACTTCAGGAAACTGATGTGTATAAACAAAAGTACCGACCGAGACAATTTAGCTCCTCTAACACTGCGCTGGTTTGTTTAAGCAGATCAGAATCTTACTTTTAATGTTGTTTTTTTTTTTGTGCTAACGTAAGAACTACACGACGCTCACAAAACACGACGCGAGACAAGACACAACTATTATCGTTCTTACAACGTTAAAACAGATTAAAAATTACTTTTCAGTCGAGTGTCTCTTCAGTAACATCTCTTCTTTTTTGGAGGCCTGTTGTATTCAGTCGGACATTATCCTGTACAAGGGCAGCATCATGACCAAAACCGGTCGGCAGAAAGGTAATTTTCAATCTGTTTAAACGTTGTAAGAACGATACGGGTTGTGTCTTGTCTCGCGTCTTGCATTTTGTGAGTGTCTGAATCTTAATAAAAAATAATTCTAGTTACGTTAGATGATGCAATTACAACGTTATAAAATATCCTTCAAATCAAGTGTCATCCTCACGAATCAATCATACTCCATTCTTGCTACGCTTACGATAGCTTAAGATTTATTATGTAAATTATTACACTTCAGTTCATCACTGTTAGAAGAAAAAGTCGGATGCATAATGTTCACAATTGTATTTCTACTGGTAATAGTAATTCAATAAACAGTTTTCGCGACAGAAAACTCATTTCTCAAAACTCTTGAAGTTGAGTACAAAGGCAAAATTGAGATCAAAACTAAATGCAATGAATGACTGCAGGCAAACTAGATTTTTTTCACAAATAGACAAAAATTCGACGTTCTCTCAATGTTACACCCCGCGAAGAAGACATATGTACATTTGCTTTAAAACGACAAATGCTACGAATTTAAATACTTCAAATTAGGCCAATGAATCCGTATTACCGATGTTTGTTTAACAATATTTAAATCAAAGATTGAAAACAAATCGTCTTTCGAGTTGAAATCAGCAAGCTCTCGTGACTGACAGTAAACTAATAATAAGTCAATTGCCTTGAAATGCAAATGCAATCAACTGATACAAATCAAACATAAACACGAGATGCCCGTGTTGGTGCTCCAATTCCCGCTCGGCAGATGAATGGGGGGTGAATGTTACTTAACAAATTTGCGATGTTTGATTAAATAGCACAGATTATGTGGGGCTGAGAAATGTTTGTTCTGTTCGACAATATTTAGATGATGCGAACCAATCGTTTGTGCTGATTTAATTATAAGAGTTTGAAAATTATTGCAAATCAAAGCCACTTTCCCAAAGGTATACGTAAAAACCCTTGTCCGGATGGCACGTGCACGTAGACAAATTAAGGGGGTTGGTAAGTATCTACGGTTCATATGAATAACAAAATTTCTATATGGATTATCTACACAGAAGTACGAAGGGGCCTAAAACCACTAAAAAACTGTCTACGTAGTTTATAGTCATAAACTGCATTAAGCTACAGTGAGACTCCAAAATTACCACACAATTTATCTTCTTCCAGAGTAACTGTTCAAAGGTGCCCAAGAAGTTCAAGGTCAGCATCATGAACATCGTTTCTCGAACTTGTGGAATCGTTTGATACTTGGAAATTCAAACGAAATATGATATAATCGAAAATCTTAAAATGTTAAAGTTCTATGTTAATAAACTGCTAGTAGTTAGACATATGTACCGTACCGGATTAAAATGCGTGCAGCTGTAGGTGTTCGTTTTTTGGTCCTGCACGGTATTACATATTTCATTTGGTCGATATATATATATATATATATATATATATATATATATATATATATATATATATAATTTCGTTATTAGTTACATCGCGATTTTCAAGCGAATTTTAAACTATCGCAAGTAACAATTAAACAGCCTTTTGGCTGTCACTCTGTTTTATTGTGGTTTTATAACAGCAATAAGCAATCTTTTTAGTTTGAATATAGCATTTAAAAGTGCAAAACATTCTTGATTAGTAACTCAGCTTTATGCTGTATTAAAAACGTTTTAAAGCCTAACGAGAATATCAGGAAGTTTCTGGTTTAAAAAATGATTTTAATGCAGCACTGTATCCCTTTAGAAAACTGTTCAGTAAATCAATTGGGATTTGTTTTATTGATGCAACGGCAAAATACTTCATAAAGGTGTTTTATCATTATAAAAGCAATTATGAAACCGTTCGGTTCAAATGGGATCAAAAAGCATATATCAGGGCTGGTAGCGAGTCACTTTTTAGTGACTTGGTCACTTTTTTCAAGTCAGTCACTAAAAAGTCTCTTTTTTAAGGCCAAGCCACTAATGTCACTTTTTCTTGTAATAAGTTACTATTTTCAACTTTTTTAGCGTGAATTTAAGATTGATTATTATTTGCATTCTGATGTTTAATCGTCTTTCTCTATATACAGGATGTTTACACATTTTTCTGGATAAAATTACCTAAGTTTTCCAAGTAAGTAAGTCAAAGATTTAAAAATATTCAATGTCGTGAAGTTTCGTATTCCATGTACAAGTTCAAGATATTAAAAAAATTAAAAATAGTTTAATGATATTCAGCGAAGTTTCGAATACTTCGAGGACGATCAGATAGCTTCAGAATAATCCCATTAGCTTAAGCAAATTTGCAGCGACTTACAAGGAGTTCATTGGAATTAAAAGGTATTCCAAGAATTCTATGATTGATCCGAAAACGTCAAAAGCGTCAGGGAATTATGAATATATATATATCAGAAAGTTTGCTGGATTATTAAACAAATTTAGAGAACTTCAGGTAAGCATAGATAAGTTCAAGGAAAATTCGCGAGTATTAATAATGGTTATAATACTTAAGAAAAAGTTTCGAAACTTCAAGGCAAATTAATTAATGTCAGTAAAGTTGCGGGTTCTTAAAAACTACTGATAAATTCAGGGCAGTCTAGAGAACTTAAAATAAATTCAGTAATCGTTTAGGCACCAGAAGCCCCGTAACGTGGGTAGATCACCTTTTTGTGGTACGTTACGGGATGTAAGATCTACCACCGATTCCTAGTCCTGACTACTTCAAACTAAGGGAACAGGATTTTTCAGTAATCCAAAGAACACATCTTAGTCCTTGTTACTTTGTATGCCTTGTTGATAGTGACAAGACTCGGCTTTGTCTACCGAGGATGATCTTGAAAGAAGGAAAAAAATGAGTTAGTTGTCTTCATCTATGTGATTCCTAATCTTCTAATCGTTGTTCCCTAGTTTGAAGTGGTTAAGACTAGGGTACTGATGCATGGTCATTATCGGTGTCATACCTTAATTTTGCTGCTAAGGAATCCAATTTTGACTGACAAAGGGGCGCGCCTTTGGAGGGTGTTTCAACACTCCGAAGGGTATAAATAGCGGGACCTTTTAATTAGAGTTGGATCCTTGCGATAAATGCAAGAGTGGCAACTGTAAAAAAAATCGAATACTTCATCATTTCTCAATAGTGATGGAGTAATACTAAGGACACGGGATATACTACAATAGATCAATTTACTGGTCGCAGTAGTGTTAGGTCCCGAACAGAGGAAAAAATAGGCACCAGAAAAGAAGTTTTAAATTAGTGACGATAATTTAAGGGAAGTTTTATGAACTTCAGAAAAATCTTGAGAACCTCAGTGAAAATCAAAGAACCATATTGAATATTTCGGTTTTATTCCATAACAAATTGCGGGAGCACAAAAGTTTCAGAAATTCAGAAAAACTTCGAAAACTTCGCAGAAGAACAGTGGTCTTCAGAAACATTACTTCATAGAAATCTATGGAGCTTAAGATGAGATGCGCAAACTTCAGGAAATTTTATGAACACTAGCGAAATGCGGGAGCATTTGAAAAAAGTTTAGTAAGCTCCGAAAATTGGAGGAATTTCAGGGTGAGGTCAGTTCCACTAGTTTAGGAAATAAGTGGGGAATTTAAAGCAGTTCCCAGATTTCCAGATAACTTTCAGTTTATTTGATGTCTTCACATAAGTTCAGAAGTTCACTGATGCTTAAACATTTTTAGGATGATTTAATTAAATTCAGCGCAGTACAACAAAGAAAACTGCAAAAGCTTTAGAAAAGTTTTGAGAATTTCAGAAAATTACAAAGAACCTCAGAGCAGTTCCGTCAACATTGGAGAAGTCACATAGATTTTAAATAAGTTTAGAGAACTTCAGTGAATTGATAAACCTTTAAAGGAGATCCATGATCGTTAGAAAAATTGAGGAAACTTTAGGAAGTTCTATAAAGCTCAGAATTTGAGGAAACATATTGTGAACATCAGGCTAGTTTATCAAACTACAAAAGAACTTCAAGGCAGTTTCATTAATTTAGGAAAAAATTGAGGACTTTCAAGTGGTTCTGAAGACCTCAAAACAGTCCATTCCATATTCAACGGAGATTTCTTCAAAATCTCGATGTAGCTATCTTCAGACTTGAATTTTCTTTTAGTTTTCCTCGGAATTACCTGGAAATTCTCCACAACTAGAAATCCTTTGGAAAGATTCTCCGAGTATTCATTGAATTCATTTCAGATTTCCATTTCAATATCACTCCTTCCTTTGGAATTCTACTCACATTGAAAGTCTCCTAACAATTGGGTTCTTTAAGGGTATTGAGGTAAATGCATATTCGTAATCTGCATTAAAAATGGAACCCAAACCCAAAATGTCATCAAAGTACACTGGAACTATTTTAAATAAGAACGATTACATTTTCAAAAATCACCTTATTAGTGCCCCTCGGTGTCACTTTGTATGGGAGCGAGCCGTCAGTTTGTCAGTTTAGTGTCAAACAGTGAAGTTATTATTTTGCTTTAAATCTTGATTTAAAAATCGAGATGAAAGTTTGTGGGTTCGAAAAAAATATCGCTGTGCTCAGAAAACGGAGCTCTTTCAGATGATCTATAAAAAT